TACCCCCGCCCCCTTTCGGCCATACCTAAAGGGGGGACATTTCTTGTGCAAGCATAGTAGATTTAAAAATGGGCTGACTCATAATGTCACGCTCGTAACTGTGCCTGATCTACAACAGGGAGCTGCTGCTTTTTCTGTCCTAATCCTTACTATTGTCATTTTCTTCTTCTTCTTTTGTGTGTGTGTCACTCTCTTGTGACCCGCTATTTCCGGGGTGCCTTGACAGTCAAAGCAGACTTTGTGGTGCTGAAGCTAGAGAGGCGAGAAGAGCAAGTCTAATTCCCTGTAAAGACTTCTCTGTTGACATCCACCCCCTGGCGCTCATATGAGCGTATGCAGTTGCAAGTGCGTAAAACTCTCTACTAAAACCAACGAAATTCGTACCCCTGGCAAAATGTTGATGCGAAAACGAATTTAAAAAACGTGTATAGGCCCAATGAATGCCATTTAAAAAAGCAGCGCTTTGTTCGCCGAGTCTATTGACGTTCAGTGGCTGCTGTAGTCGATTACTGATGTTTTTCCCTCTTTTGTGACGTCACAAACGTGTGGCAGTGTTGCACATGTCACAGGTGACGTCACAGCTGACAATGGCTCGCAGTGAACCCACCAAGCTGTCCCCCACCACTGGGTCGACATACTATAGGTAAGTCTCGTTGGTCAAGGGAAGCGTGAGGTTGTCGGGGGTCTAGTGGTCAGGCCGCCGGACTCGTAATCGTGAGGTAGCGGGTTCGGGGGTTTGAGCCGTGGGTCAGACGTTGTGTCTTTGGGAAAGACACTTGACGAGAAGTGTCCTCTCTTCACCCAGGTGGGAATGGGTACCCGGCCATAGACAGCGAAAGATCTTGTCAGTATTTTAGTCTCTCTCTCTCTCTCTCTCTCTCTCTCTCTCTCTCTCTCTCTCTCTCTCTTCAACTTCTCTCTCCTCCCCCCTTTCCAACCAAGCCCTCCGACATAATCTTCCTCCCCTCCTCTTCTCCCAATCTCAGCTCTAACAGTCGGACCAACAGGGGGCGCAAAGTGGAGAAGGCTGGGGCCGGGGGTAGATCTCAAGGATAGATAACAAGGCTAAAACAGCACCTGTACATGGATGGCTGGTGCCTCTATCAATAAATTATTGATTGTCACGGGTGGATGGTGGGGGACTGTCGTGGGAGGGGGAGGGTGTAAAGGGTGTGTGGGGGGGAGGGAAGAGAATGGGGGTTGGTGGTTGGTGTATTTATTATTTTTATTATTATTATTATTTTGATGATGATTATTATTATAAAGGTGGTAGTAATAATAATGATAATAACAATAACATAAGTGACAATAACGATAAAACATAAAAACAATACAAATAATAATCATGATAACATCAACCACTTAGCTCCAGTCTGCTGCCAACAACCACCAGCACTTACTTCAAATGCCAAAAGAAAGCGTTGCCGATCCTCTGGCTGAGGAGACTGCGCTTGAGCAGGAACCGGGTCAGCGGGTTGTCGTGATACGGCTCGTACTTCATGGCCTAGAGGATTAGAGGATGATAAGTGAGACAGAGAAAGGGACGCCTGTAGTTTCGATCTTTTTATGCACACATTATGTCATCTAATATACACACTAAAAATAATTACAATAATTACAATGATGATGATGAAGATGATGATGATGATGATGATGATGATGATGATGATGATGATGGCAAATAACAGAGATAACAACAACAATAATAAAAATAATTATAAAGATCCCTTCTATAGTGCTCATTCTCTGGTGGCTCAACAATCATTATAATAATAGTCAAAATAAAAATAATAACATTAATAATAGTAATAATAATAATAATAATATATGTAATAATAATAATAATAATAATAATAATAATATATGTAATAATAATAATAATAATAATAATAATAATAATATATGTAATAATAATAATAATAACAATAACATAAGTGACAATAACGATAAAACATAAAAACAATACAAATAATAATAATAATAATAATAATAATTGCATTCAAATAGTGCATATCCATACACTACAGTATGTTTTATGCGCATTACGACTATCATCACAACCCAAAAGACCCTAAGACACTCCTCTTTTTAAATTTTGAATAGAGGTTTTATGGCGCTTGCAACTGCGTAAGGTCATATGAGCGCCAAAGGGTGGATGTCAACAGAGAAACCCTTACATAGCATCAGGCTTACTCTGCTCACCTCTCCAGCTTCAACAGCACAAAGTCTACTTCGCCTATCAAGCCACCCCGGAAATAGCGGGTCACAAGAGTGTGACAAACATACAAAACAAGTAGAGAAAAATGACCAGAGAAAGGAAGAGGAAAGAAAAAGCAGCAGTTCCCTGTTGCAATTCCGGCACAGTTATGAGCATAACAATGAATGAATCAGCCTATTTACAATTCTACTGTGCTACAGAACATGGTAAGGTCCCCCCCTTTGGGAATGGCCTAAACACACTACAGTCAGTAGCACCCATGGCAGGACCGTACCAACGTCCGATGCGAAGTTATTCTTGTATTATGATACAGGCAGAATATAAAAAAGTACGGGTTTACAAGCCTTTTTACCCAGAAGTCAAAGACAAATTAATTGTACGTCTTGGTAGTGTTTTATAGATCAGTTTGACATGAAACAAGCGGTTTTAAAAACGTAATATGTCGGGTCGCATTTCCACAAACACGAGAGAATTACGCGGCAACGTGATTTTAAATTGCATGGTTAAAGTTAAAGAGTTAATTACCAACACAGGTGAGCACAAACTCAAAACAGCTTCCACGCCCCCCCTCGCGACTCACCTGTACAAGCTGCAGCAGATACTGCGCCAGTTTGTCGTCCATGAGTCCCTGGTCCAGGCACTTGACGGCAAACTGCCGCACCTTGAGGTCGGTGTAGGAGCAGTCGAGCAGCTCCAGGGCCACCTCCGCCGGGATGACGGGCCAGCGCTTCAGCAACTCGTACAGCTGTTGGGGAGTAGGAAGAAACAAATCTCATAGTAACGGTAACAAAAAACCACAAACCGTTTTATACATCTCACCAAAAGGAATTTGTTTTTTAGTTTTAGTAAGTGTTTTGCGGCGCTTGCAACACAATAAGGTCATATAAGAGCCGAAGATTAGAGATGTTACAAGAGAGTAACAAACAAAACACAAACAAGAAAGAGGGGAGATAAAGTATAAAGACAGTAGAAGTTTGATAGGAAAGAAGAAACAAATCACACCAGAGCACCCGCCAACCACCCACTCAGATTTTTGGGGTTTTTGTTTTAGTAGAGGTTTTACGACTATCTATCAAGGCATCCCGAAAATAGCAGGTTGCAAGAGTGTGACAAACATACAAAAGAAGTAGAGGAAAAATGACAATAGTAAGGATTAGGAAAGAAAAAGCAGCAGTTCCCTGTTGCAGTTCAGGCACAGTTATGAGCATGACATTGATGAGTCAGCCCATTTACAATTACAATTCTACTGTGCATTAAGAACAAGGTTAAGGTCCCCCCCTTTGGGAATGGCCTAAAGACACTTCAGTCAGTAGCACCGCCCCAGGGGGGTAAAATGATAGATACAGACAAAAAATAACAGAGGGACAAGAAAAGAAGTAGGACCTACAGCAGTACCCTGGGTATCCAGCAATATTTCCTGAAGAAATTTACTAGATCTACCTGGGGAAAAAAATTACCACCCAGCAAATCAAGCCCCACACCAGCTCGACAGGTTCATTTGCGCCATCAATTCCATATCGTATTAAAAAATATTACAGACCAACCGGTAAACAAAAGATTTCTCACCTCAACTTCTGCTGTAACTTTAATCCAAGTGACTTTTGTTCTTTACTACAGAAAGCTCAACTATAAATAATCCAGTATAGGCTCCAGAGTTTGGTTTTCTTGTCTTTGGGCTCAATTGTAAATAATCCAGTAGGTGCCAGAGTTTGGTTTTTTGTTGTCTTTGGGCTCAACTGTAAATAATCCAGTAGGTGCCAGAGTTTGGTTTTCTTGTCTTTGGGCTCAGCTGTAAATAATCCAGTATAAGGTCCAAAGTTTGGTTTTCTTGTCTTTAGGCTCAACTGTAAATAATCCAGTAGGCGCCAGAGTTTGGTTTTCTTGTCTTTGTAGAGTGGGCTGATAATCCAATACAGGGTCTTGGAATTTGTACTAGTAACGGCATTGGTCCAACAGTAGCTTATCCAGTACAAGGCGGCCCGGCCCATGAATTTGGAAGCCTTCACCGTTCCATTCACAACACAATTTGTTGTGCATGTGACTTCCTCAGGAAACCTCCATGTATCTCCAAGGGATTCTCAAGTACCAGTATTCATTATAGGGTCTGTGACTATTTCTTTCTATATGGGTGTGCTCAACAGTGAAGAGTAGTCCTGTGAGAGAGATGGCTTCAAAGTGGTAATAATCTTAATTCACAGAAATTTTCTTGACTTGTATGAGTAAAAAGCTCTATTTTTGCATGTTGTCTGAAGTTCTCACTTTTTATCTTCGTCGGGTTGAGGACACTATCCGTTGCAAGTGACATCAGGCAGGACTTCCTCCCTGGTAAACTTCAAAGTGTTAATAATCGTAACTCACAAAAATTTGCTGGACTTGGGAATAATCGCTACCCTGCTAAACAGTATAGGATCCATGTAGCAACAATAGGTAATATATACACTATAATATATACAAAAAAATTAATTGATTCTACTCGACTTGCACTTCTATAGTTCCAGCTCACACTCCAAAGTTTTGATGGAAGTGTTGAGTTCACAGAGCTCTGTCTTCTTAGCCTTCGACTCCTTACGAATTGCATTGCTCTGAACAATGAGCTCATGAGCCTTGGCGGCACTACATGTTTCTGCTTCCTCTGCCAGTTCATCTGCTTTTTGGACCAACGCGTCAATGTTCAGTTCCAATTTCCTCCTCTTACTGTTCATTTCCTGTAAGTCTTCTGCTCTTCTCTTCTTTCCCTTGGTCTTTTCTTCCATTTCTTTCATCTGTCTTTGCTCCTCCAGGGCTGCTTTGTATCTCCTATACGCTCCACTGCAGGAAGACATCAGAGCTTGATTCAGCGGCACTGTAGCAGGAGAGCCTTGGGTCTTGATGAACTGGCAGACGATTTGTCTTGCTACGATCGTTCTCTCTGCCATGTTCTCCACCGAGACCTCTTTGTTGACAGAAAACCCTCTTTCTACTTCCGCATTTCCATGGCTCAGGGTAAGAACGATGTTAATTACTTTTCTCAGAGCAGGCACGCTTGTCAGGTCCATCCTTTGGAAAACTTCATCGAGTCTGACTCCTTCACCATCGTCTTCATACAGCTTGTTCAATTCCTGAAACTGGAAGATGGCATCGTCCACTTCCTCAGCTGAGAGCCACCTCTTTCCATGCAGATATTTTGCCACATCAGCAAATCTCTCCGAAGCGCCTGTGCATGTAAAATTTCTCGGGCCGAGACAGGTCAAGTCACGAGCAAACTTGTACGCGATTGGACTCTCCTCAACTATCTTGGCAATCAGATGAGTGCACATTTTCTTGAAATCTAGTCTAACTGTTAATACATCCCTGTCAGACACGCTTTTTGACTTAATCAAGCTGGTGAGCTCCTGATTGGCCTTACAGCCAAGCTCTATCTTTGAATGTTGTCTGAAGTTCTCGCTTTTCAGCTCCGTCAGGTTGAGGACACCATCTATTGTAAGCGACTTCAGGGCATCCTCCGTCAGTATTAGGGAGTAGAGCCTCTTGATTACTTCAAATAGGTCTGAGGCAAGGAAAGGGGTGAGGGGAACGTTCGCTCGATATTTCTCCAGGAAAGGCTGGAGAATTTTGCTTATATGCAGGAAGCAATGAAGCTTCACAGTCAAGAGTGTGTCAGTAGTGAAAGAACAGATGGTTCTGTAGGAATTGCACAGGGGCTCTGACACTTGACCATCCTCACAAGCTTTCACGTACTTCCTAATGTGGGGTAAGACAGACAGCAAACGTTCAGCTGTCTCTTTGTTTTCAAGCCACCTGTGGCCGCAGAACTGAAGTGGCAAGATTGTTGCGTCTGTGATTTTGACAAAATCATCCCGTCGTGCAGGGGACTCCTGAAACAGGGAATACACGGACTTGAGCAGGGAGTCCAGTTCCCAGCCCGACGCTTTCATCCCGTCCTTCAACGCGCTGTGAAAGACGTGGAGACCGCATGTTCCCATGTCCACCAACTGACGAGACTGTGTTTTTTCTAGCTCAACAGCTAAATCTTTGAAAACTTGTAAATTCATGTTGGGTCCATCCATGGATATTTGAAGCAATCTCTCGTTTCCAAGTTTCCTAACTGCCTCCTTAATGTTCTTTTCAATGTCCACAACTTGGGCGTGGCCCGTGAAAAAAGATGTGTAGTATTTTGTTTGCACCACATTGTCCAGAACAAACCTCACATGAACATCCATTTGCTTTTTCAAAAGTTCGGCGTTAAAGCTTTCGTCAAACAGAATGGTGTAACAGTCAACATTTCTGATCTGATTTTCGATTTCTTCGAGTAGAAATGGTGCGAGTCCAAAGGCAGCTAGGTACCCTGCCTTTGTTCGCCCACACCGAAATTGCTGTGCAATCCTCGAGTCACTGAACATAACAGGAAACAGTTCTGACACATCGTCCGAACTCCTCAAGCTGGAGTGAGAGCTGACGAGATGAAGCACCCATCTCACTTCGGCCATCAGAGTTTTTTCATCACATGTGTCGTGTGCATCAAAGGTGCCAGATATTGCCAAGGTCTCAGTTGTTGAGAGTTCAGTTGTGGATTGTTGGGGCTGGAAATATTGTTGAGTTGTGTCCTCATTTGTTTGAGCTTGAGTCTGTGCCGACTCACTGTCCATGAACACATTCTCGCTTTTCGGAAAACTGAACAAGGCCTGGGATTCATAGGCTGCCTGCAAGGAGAATCTATGCTTCGCTGCTTTTGTATGCGACAATAATGCTCTCACGCCATTTGAGCCGATCATTCCCTGCTGATTGCACACTCTGCAGTAAAACAGACCAGGGTTGTTCGGAACGTGGCCCAGCCACTGGGTAAAACGATCGTCTTTCAGCCACTCGTAGTTGAAATAGCACTTTCCCATCGTGAATTTTGACTGCAAATCCTTTTAAACAAAAAGGAATCCTAGATTTAGATTCTGTGTCCTGTTGAAAATCAAAGTTGTCCTGGCCGGTTGGAACGAAAATACACACACAACAAAGTCCAGTCGACAAAATGGAGAATAGACAGACGATCACGTACTCACTCGCTGCAAGATTTTGACTTAGTAAACTACTAGTGCGAAAAAACAATAAATTAAAAAGTAAAACTAACAAGCTGTGCTATCCTTATTCTTCTTCTGGAGAAACGAAAAAGAGCTTCGAAACAAAGACTGCAACAGCATCTGAAGCAATACACGGACACATGCGTGGACACATGCGCTGACTACAAAATACGGACTGGTTGGGTTATCACTGAGTACTGCAGCTGTGACTGTTCACTGGAAAGAGATATCCTTCACTGAAAGGTCTTGCTGGGTTCATTCCTCCCTACACAGGTCTGATTTACGACCGTCTACTACCCTCAGGGCACATTTACTACCTTCAGCCCACATTTACTACCCCCATTTACTACCTTTACTACCAGGGCCCTGAATTTACGACTTTTTAATGACAATTTTACGACCTTGCTGGACAGCAGGCCCTAGCCCCCCCCCCACACAATAATAAG